TCCGTTCTTGTCGGCTTCCTTCCGCGAGAGAGGAACGAAACGGAAGGAAGAGGAACGAAAAAGCTGCAGGACCCCGAAACCCCGAGCGACAGCCAATTCGCAAGCAATTCTCCGTTCACCTCGGGCGGTCCGGGAAGTCGTCGACTTTGCCGGTGGAGAGGAAGAGAGAGAGAGAGAGAGAGAGAGGGGCCGGGGGAGGCGGATCGGAAAGGAGCCATAAAGCTGCCCGGGGAAAAGACCTCCACCCGCGGACGAGAATTAATATTCCCGGAGAGACAAACGTGACAGATAGATCAAATCTGCATCTCACCGGGAAGCGCTGCTCGGTGTCAATTTCGACGGATTATCGCCCTTCTCCACCCCCGTCCGCGCGCCTTCCTTCGGCCTTCAGCCCTCCTCGGAAACGCACATCGTCCCTCGGTTCTCCAACGCCATTCTCTCACACGCGGTGCTCTCGCGCTTTCTCTACTTCTCCCGTGGATAACCGAATTTTCCTCGCGTCACGGATTTTTCTAAACTTCCATTTGGAGACAGAAATCAAAAATATATCCCGCGTTTTTCTCCTGAAACTGGCTCCACCGATCTTCGAGGACCCGCACTGAGAAAAAAATCTGATTGCATTGATTAGAATTCTGGTAGATTCAACCAGTATGTCTGTTGGAAAATGGACGAACCAGAATTCTTGTAGGAATTACCAGATGAATCTAATTAATTTCTTTCTGTTAAATTTATCAAATTTTCTGGTTAATAATATACTAAATTCATCAGCACCAAGTCGTCTCAAATTTTTTCCATCTAATCTCAAAAGTCTGTTTAATATTCTGAATTCCAACTAGATTATTGGATAAATTCAATCCAGATTATTGAATAATTATTTTAAATTAAGTTTGTTCTATTTATTCTATTGTTCTATTTATTTCTTATTTTAAATTAAGTTTATCAAAATTAAATTGATAAACAGTGATACAAGAAGAGAATGTAGCTCAAATCAGAGAGCAGTCCTCTTCCTGACACTACTGCTCGTAAGAGAAAAAAAAATATACTTTGGATTTAATGTTAATACTAGTTCTTTATATACATTTCATGGCAATATAAAAATATTGAATACGAGTTAAGCTAAGAAGCAAGCAAAGAAATTAATTAACAAGAAATTTGATAGATTCAACCAGAAAATATTAACCAAATTTTTACAGTCAAATCTATTAAACGTTCTAGTTATAAAAAATCAAATCGTATCATGATAACTAGAAATTCTTGTTTGATTTAACCAAAATGCCTTCAATCATATACGTCTTGTTGGTACAATCAAACGATTTTTCTCAGTGTGATGAAAAAATAAGCATCTTGATTTAATTTGATTTAAGAGACAAATTAAATTCATGTAAAATTTGTAAATCAATAAAAAAATTATAGATGGACTGGAAATATCCTGAAGAGCCTTACAATTTCTCTTAATTACAAATAATAAAAAATCAACAACTAGAAATTCTTGTTTGATTTAATCAAAATGCCTTCAATCATATATGTCTTGTTGGTACAATCAAATTTTTCCCAGTGCGGAATTCGACCCATTTCTCGCGTTAATCTATCGCGTGTAGCCGAAAGTAGAAAGGTACATTTCGAATCACACGGAAGAGGGATTCGCTTCTGGCCCGAGCAACGAGGGTTCCAACACATCCTGTCGATTCCACCCCACGTGTGCGTTTCTGATACGCGTCGCTTTACCTGTCCTCATGCGATGCCCGTGCAACTCGCACGCATCGTATGGACACGCTCTCGTGTGGACGGCTCGTGCGGACCACGTGGCCGAACAATAGGACGATTCTAATTGGGCCTTTCGACGTGGCTGTCCGGTAGCAAAAAATTCGACAAAAAAGGCGACAAAAGGGGCTTAACCGGGGAATATCCCCGGCGGGATGAGCACGAGCGAGTGTATTCTTATAGCGTTCGTGGACCAGTTCGGAAAGGGTTAACTCTCTCTCTCTCTCTTTCTCTTTCCTTTTTTATCTCGTCGCCAGAACATGCTGGCGAAAGAGGGTTTGGGGCGAACGCCGCGGAGCGTGATGAAACTTTAAAGAGACACCGGTGTACGAACCATCGTCGATGCGTTGCTCCTCGAAATGGGGTTGCACAAGACCCAAGACGAGGCAATATTCGGAAAAATATTGTATTGCTATTGAAAATTTTCGAAAACTCAAAATCTTATCTTGGTCGTGTCTCGCGAGTGAATTTTTGTAGCAAAAATCTCATCTTATGTATCTTGTGCATTGTCTCAATTTTCTTGACAAATTTATCTAATGGTTAACGGTTTAAAATAATATTTAACATAATCTTTATAATATAATTTAAGATAATATTACATACATATATTTTATTTTCATATAATTAATATAATTGTTTTAAATTTATTAATATAAATATTCTTTATCGAATAAAATATTTTTCGTAAATTTGTATACAAGTTTGTATTTAATATAGTGTGATTTCTCTTTCTCATCTCCCTAGTTTACAAATATACATATTTCAGCTCGTTTTAAATCTCAATAATCTTGACAAGAACAATCTTAACAATCTTGCTATTGTCTTGACAATTAATTAAAAATCGCATCTTGATCTTGTCTCGCGATTCGAGACAAGACAATATCAAGACTAATCTCGGTGTCTCGTGTAACCCTATCTCGAGAGACACGATTATGTTTGTTCGCGATGGCCGCCCTCGTTTCCCGAGATGACGGAAATTTAACTACATCCATGTTTTGGTGTACTATTTTTAGAATAAATTCAGATTATCTGGAAAAGTTTTCGGAATTAGAAAAAGAAAATCTGTGATACTTTTCACTCGTGTAAATAAAAGGACAGCGGATTCACGCACGTATCTAAAAGTTTTATCTATGATTACTTGACATAATTAAATTGACATTAAAAATATACAATTACAGATAGAATTAGTTATACAATTACAAATTACCAATTTTATCATGAGAATAAAACTATTGTTATTTCAGAGATAAAAATCTGTCAGTATTTTTCAATTCCTCATTTTCCGTGAGAATTTTAAGAGATTATTATTCGTAATAAAAATTTCTTCTCAGGGTACATGTCAATATTTTGTTGAAAATAATTCTAAAAAACGAATTTGCGTAGAAAACTGAAAATATGGAAAGTATATCCGCACGAGTAATATAGGTTTCTCTTTAATAAATAACATATACGACGATGAAAATAATTTTAATTACGAAGGAAAATACACATAGAAGAGCCAGGGGTGGTTCTCTCTGTTATCGAGGGCGAAGGCAGAATCCATTCTGCGTTGCAAAGCAGCTTCTTACGTCAATTTGCACAGTTAAGCACTGTATAAGAATCTCAAAGGAGAAGCAGTGAATTAATCGAAAATGCCACCGGTGTGAAATTAGAAACCATGAAATCACGATGGAGTCCCGTTATTTAAAATTATAATAGTAAATATATATCTATACGCATTCTTTTATTTTTCAATATAATAAATATTTTAATATTAAACATATTTTATAATAAATATATATTATAGATAAATATTATAAAATTTAATATTATAATATTATTATAATTTAATATTATAAAATTTAATATTAAAAAATATATATAAGTATTAATTTAATTACAAAAATTTTTATTACAAAATAAATTAATATATCAACGATATATCTTTATTTGATTTAATAAGTCTAAAATTCTCTTTCCCTCTCTATAGCGGTAGTCATTACGCAATAATCCGAGCTTGTAAACCGCGGACCACAAAAAGAGAGTCGAAAGCGATCATCAGCCTCATGATCGAGCCCCGTCTTTCACAAAGAAACCGAACGCAAAGAAGATAACGTAGTATTTTTACATCGGCAACGTGTCGATTGAGGACGCTCGCGCGCGTTAAACCCTTCGACGTATGACAATGTAGTTCCCAACAAAAGGGGGTCAGAGAAACGATGCGAGGGAAGACACGAAAGGAGAGAGAGAGAGAGAGAGAGAGAGAGAGAGAGGAGCGGAAAAGGAGGGGGAGGCAGGTTCACCCCAATCCCCGAGCGGGTGGTTTAAATTCAAAAATCGAATCCACCGATCCATTGTTCGTATTCGCTCGGCCAGGTTCGACATCACATGGCAGAACCCCCTTATAACTGTACTTTAAAACACCCTCTTCCCTTCTCCCCTCCCTCCTCCTCTCGTCCCTTCGGGCAACCGACAATTCGCCAAAACCAGCATGTGATTTCGGATCGGCACAACGGATATCTCGATTCACGCACTCTTATGGCGATGAAAAAAAAAACTCTGACATACTTTTCCGTCGCTCTAGAACGCACCAACAAATTTCTGATCTGTGAACGTGAAACGAAAAGATTTTTATTTGCCAATTAGACTCCTAGAGAGCTTCCAACTCGGCCAATCGATCAATTTCAATATAAAATGCGTTAATATTTATAATTAAAATAACGAGAAATTAAAATGTTAGCTCATTATATTGAACAGTCGAAGAATTAATCAGACTTCTTTCCCTACAAATATATATATATATATATATTTCTTGAAGATGCTATATTATTATGCTTCAGAATTATTTCTCTTCCTGCGAAGAAAGATATATCGCAATACAGTAAATATCTTGAAGTGGAATATATTAAAGTAGCATTTTATGTGAATAAAAGAACGATTGTCTGTTTCTTGCTAAAATATAAGAATAGTTTTTATTTATAGAAACCATTTTTTGAATCCGAGTCGGATTTTCCTTTTCCCTTCAATTCTCCTAGTCAAGACAAGCTGCAATATTTAAATTTGCCATAAATATTAACAAATAAATACACACTTAATTCCATAAATATTCCGCTCATATTCTTCTATCTTTTTTAAAGATTCATATGACTCCAATCACTCGGAGAGGCTCGAAACTAAAGACGCCCTATTTAAATCGTGCGAAGCAAGGGTCAGTCACCGTTCTCAGCTGTAAGAATGCGAGAGGTAATAAATAAACTTACCGGAATTGACTGTGTTCGTGTCGGCGTCCACGGACTCGGTCTTCTGCTTCTTCGGAAGGTCCTCCTTGTCGTCGTCCGGCGCCTCCGTCCGTCTCTTGGGCGTCGAGCTGGCGCTCGCCTTGAGGTCGATCGGGCTTCCGGTATCCGGTCCGGAGCCCTGGGGCGTCGGCGGGCTCTCCAACCGACCGCTCCTCTTGTTGATGGGCGCGGAGATGCTGGGCACCGAGTTCAGCTTCGAGTCCGGGTCGGCGGTCTTCAGGGCGAGGGCGTCCTCCGGATCGGAATCCTCGGGAGCGGCCGTCGCCGGCGGACTGTGGCAGCCCTGAAGGGTGCTGCGACAGTGGTTGACCTTGTGCTCGATGAACCGGACGATCTCGCCGAGGGGGTAGGACGCCCTACAGCCCCCGCATTGGACGGTGTCTGGGGACGCGGTGCCTTGCGAGGTTTCCGCTGAAACAGAGAGCAGCGCGTTGCCTTGGGAGATGCGTCGGATTAACTTTGATCGAGCGCAATCGCTTCGATTAAGCTCGCCACCTTCTCTCATTTATTTTCGACTCGAATTTACTCAGGTTCGATTGTTTCCATGATAACGATATCGTTCATTTTTGGTTGAATGTAATATATTGTGTATAATGTTTGTGTATACACTGGGAAAAATCGTTGGATCGTACCAACGAGACGTATATGATTCAAGGCATTTTGGTTGAATTTCTAGTTGTTGATTTTTTATTATTTGTAATTCAGAGAAACTGTAAGGCTCTTCAGGATATTTCCAGTCTCATGAATTTAATTTGTCTCTTAAATCAAATTAAATCAAGGTGTTTATTTTTTTACATCACACTGAGAAAAATTGTTTGATTGTACCAAGACGTATATGATTGAAAGCATTTTGGTTAAATCAAACAAGAATTTCTAGTTGTTGATTTTATATTATTTGTAATTAGGAGAAATTGTAAGGCTCTTCAGAATATTTCCAGTCCATCTACAATTTTTTTTATTTATTTACAAATTTTACATGAATTTAATTTGTCTCTTAAATCAAATTAAATCAAGACGCTTATTTTTTCATCACACTGAGAAAAATCGATTTACTCAGATTCGATTGTTTCTAAAATAACGATATCGTTCATTTTTTGTTGAATATAATATATTGTGTATAATATTTGATATAATATATTGTAATATATTTTTTTTCTATAATTTTTCAGGGAAAGTGACAGGTGCGTTTTAAGAAAGAGATAGTTTTCCTCTCAGCAATTATAAATTACGTTCGATGTAATATCTCGAGTACGGTATTCCATTGTGTGTTACAAGGAACAACGTATCGCTGCAATTATCCCGCAAAGAAACCTTTCAATTATTCGTTCCCCCGACTCGGGCTGCGAATCATAGTGAAAGCAACGTCAGTATCAGCTTATTCCTATCGATATTTATGTTATAGATATCATTGCATAACCGAATGTAGACACATGTCTCGCGCATCATTCGCAATGGGACATTAATCATTACGATTTACGGTACCTATTAACCAGCTGCAGCTATAATCCCGTTGATGAGGCACCCGGACAAACGACTCTGTGTGATTCGTTTCGCCGAGAGTCGTAAAAAATGTGTATCGCAGATTAATTAAATTAATGAAGTCAAACCTGGAGATTTACATTTTAGCGAAATCGAGTGAAATTTACGCGAGTATCGTGTTTGAGGGAAGTAACAGTAAATCCTATAAAAATTCGGGTTTCGATTAAAAAGCGACCCCTTTTTTCATCCTCCAGTTTCCCCGCAATTTCCTTTCGAACGATAAACGGCCGCATTCGCCTAATCCGAGCGAGCGGACTTTCCTCGTAACAAACAGAACTAATTTCCCCTTACGCAACCGTTATAATTCACCGTCGTCCGAGGGGCAGAGGGCCCGCGAGGTCAGCCGCAGACGTAACAATTCACTTTTGAGTGTCCTTGAGGAGAAACTACGGAACGTTCCTCGCGACCGTCTTACGTCTCCATTCTCCCGTACGGTTCGCGCATTAACATAGAGATTGGCAAGAGTAGCTTCATACATCGATCTTTCCCTCGACGAGTCGAGTGTCTATATCTATCCGAAATGGGGCTGCCAGGCTCGCGACGGAACGAGAAAAACCCTCCACCGTCTCGGAGTCGTTTTCCATTCCCGTCCTCTTCTTTCCCCCCCCTCCCCTCGTTCTCGCCCTTCGAGCTTCTCCCTCTCTTCTTGTTTCGTGTCTCCTCTTTCGCTTTCGTTTCTTTCTTTTTTGCGGCCTTTACGCCAACCCCTGTTTGTTTACCCCTGGCTGCTGCCAGGGTCTCTGCTTCGTTCCTTTCGAGCTTTCGACAGCGTTCGATTCTTTCTGGGCGGAGCTCGCTTGACCATTGGCCAGGGCGCAAACTCGAGCGCCTTTCAACCCTTTAGGATTCGCGTTACATCTCGATCGGGGTGGGCTGGACTTTAATTTGGAATCAATTTCCCCCGTTTGACTTTTGATTCCATAATTTAAAAAAAAAATCTTCGAGTTAGTTTAAACTCTTGGTTTACATTGTGGCGAAATTTTAGTAATTTTGTACCACTACTTTGTACAATTTTTCAAGATTATATTCAGAATTATATATGAATTATGTATTAAAAATACTTTTCAAATCATCTTGTTTAATTCGTCAGTATCCTCGGAGTAAAAAACCATTCTGCAACATTTCGCCGATATCGTGTTTCGACGTACTTTGTTGAGGGCGGACCGAGAGACCTCTTTTCAACAGATTGAAAAATATTTTCACGGATCTAAGCAGTCCGCGATAAGAATCAATTTTTTTCGAGACCCTTTACAATTCGGAATCGGCTCGGTCGAGTTGTGGCGCTTTTCTTCGTCGCTCCCATGTATCTGCAGCTTCTCGTTTTTCACCGGAAGAATGACCCGGTAGCGCAGGAAGCGAGATAAGTCCGCAAAGTCTCGGTGTGTCGAGAACTCGTGTTCTCGGACGAGACAATCGCGCCCCGCATTCTTCGCAGGAACGCGAGATTTTAATCGCGCTTGTCCTCGACTGACAGTCGAACGCGAAGGAAAAAGGAGGGAACGGAATAACGACGGCGGTAAAAATAACGACGGTAAAAAAGGACGATAAAATTTTCGATAAAAACCCCGGGAAGACTCGATGATAAAACGCCAACCGCGTCTCTGTTCCGTTGCTTGTTGCGACGACGAGAAAAAAGATCGGCCGAGGTGGATGCGACGATTGGAGAGCGAAAGGAAGGAGCGGAGAGGCTGAATGGACGAGCTACTCTCGGATCCGTTATTCGCCTACGATTCAAAAGCGCTCGGTTAGAAACAAGAGACGCGCGACCGGTCGTTAGCGACAATGGGCTTTTGTTTTTTCGGGGGCAGATGTTGGACCAAAACTGTCGGCAGCGTCGGTAGACCCTTTCGCAACCCCTAGCGAGGACCGGAGAGGCAGCCGAGGTTTAAGGTGAGCGAAGGAGGAGAACCGAGAAGACGCGTGTCTCTTCGCCACTTCATAAATCACCCGCCTATTTATCTTCGCTTTTTGCGGTCCTCGATGTATCCGATTATCGCGTTTCTATTGGAATCTCTGTAAATGTTGCCAATATTTCTTGCGAATTAAAAATACGGTGTATGGAAGATATTTATATAAAATATAAATATAATATAATTATTATTAATATAATTATTAAATATTTATATTCTTTTATATCCTTAATTATCCCCAATTTTATATTTGTATTTAATAGGATTTCTACTTTTTGTAATTTAGAAATTTCTTTTGTATCTGGAAAAATTGAAAAACTTTTGTGGAATTTTATTGAAGCTCAGGAAATTAAAAAATGAATTTATCAAAAAAATCACTACCTGTTTTGAAATTTTCTTTAGATACAAAGCAATATTGGAATATAATAGAACGTTTCTCGATATCGAGAGTGTTTTCAATAATTTATAACGCAACAGAAATATTTTGAGAAATTATCTAACGATAATCAATACGAAATATTTACCGATAAAATAATCGTTTTATTCCAAGAATAAGATATTGATTTTCGTTCTTATTATCATTATCAAAATGAATTATCAGACTGTGCGTAACGTTTCCAACGCGATACACATCTCTGATTTTGATGACGACAATTACCTCTCGCATAAAATGGTTGCATGCAGGAGGATATATGCGAGAGAGAGAGAGAATGTGAATATATATATATATATATATATAGTCGAGAAGAGAGATAACGTTAAGATATAATATTGCCCCGCGAATGTAAGTTGGATTGCTTACAAATTGGCCTATACATCCGTAATGTTGCGATCACCAAGCCCGGTGGCCCCTATTGCCGGCGTCCTCGTAATTTCCATCTATAAGTGGGAGAAGGACGCGCGTGCGGGAATCTCTGCAGAAAATGTTCCGAGTGTTATTAGTTTTTCCACATTAATTTTCTTTCTTATGTTCTCGTAGCGAGATACACCGGATACGGTCGGAGAATCGATTCTCGACGCCGTCAGTCACTTTCCTGTAGCAGGCAATCTTTGAAAATCAATCCAATTTCGAACTGTATGATATAGTTAACTTTCAATCTTGTAAATTTTAATTGGATTTAAATTAAAGAGGAGAATTGAAGAAAAATTGAAATGAGGGATAAGATGGTCAACAAAGAGAACAATTTATTTGCTCTCGAATAAATCGAATTAAACGTAGTCTTAGAAAAAAGTCTAGCTTTGTCGATAAAAAATTATTATATATTAATTATATTATTATACTTTTTATATCCTTGATCAATTATCCTCAATTTCATATTTGTATTTAATAGGATTTCTACTTTTTGTAATTTAGAAATTTCTTTTCTGTATCTGGAAAAATTAAAAAACTCTTGTGGAATTTTATTGAAGCTCAGGAAATTAAAAAAAAAAAAATACTCTCTTTGATAATTTTATTCTCATATTATATATAATCGACAAATCAAGTGCGTGTGTGTTTAAAATATATTATAAATATGTATTTAGCTTAGATTCAAAATATAAAATATTATCTCTATTACAATTTTTAGTGATATAAAAATGAAAATTTCAGACAAGTGAAAAATGCTTATTTTATAAAAGATGTGTTATTCAGTTTCTTCGATACATTTACAAATGTAGCACTTGAGAGGCTCTGTATTTTCCCTTCGTATAAATGAAAAACTAAATATAAATGCATACATTAAAAAGAAAAAACTAATTTTGCAAAAAATAAAAATTGCAAAAAATCTTGAAAATATTCTCTTTATCTGAAATTAAATAAAAATACCTGCAAGACACGAGATTAATTTAAAAAAAATTTAAATAGACATCCTAGTTGACAGGGCATCTTTTGTACGTTAATTATATAAATGATAAATATATGTTTATGACAGTTTTTTCACGACGTGACCCTACGCGAGCGTACGTCGTCTAGAAACAGGC